CCTTCTCAATCCACTTTCTCCTTTGTCTTCTGGGGGAGGAGTACACCCTCTTATCTTTATTTCTCAGGCTCTGGTTATCCAAGTTCTGCACCAAAACTTCCCCTCCCCACTGCTATCTTTAAAAAATAAGTTAACCAGTCTTCTGTCCTCTTGAAGCATTTAAAAAGCATGGTAAGGACCATGTGAAAGACTGGCACCTAGGAAAACCACTTGAGAAAAGGGTTCAGAAACTAACGAAGGGGAGATAAGCAGGACAGAGGTGTGGAGAGGGGATTAGAGAGGGACCTGAAGATAAGCTGGGACCCAAAGAGGCACTGGAACCCAGATGAGGAGGGTGCTGGGGAGGGCGGTGAAGAAAGGCAGAGGGAACTTTGGAATTGGAAGGCTGAGGGAGGCGGGAGGCGGAGTTACAAAGGGGTAAAAAGTGACCATATAAAATATGCTAAGAAAGGAGGAATTCTGACAGGGGCAAAGGAAAACAGGGCTGGAGAGGTTCTGGGAACTGGGACACCAGGCTAGCCCTAGAAGGCCTGGAGAAGCCCCTGGGGCTGGTCCAGGGAACACAATGACAGATCTCATTTCCCCAGTGGTACCTGGGCTGAGGTTTCCACCCCCTCACCCTCCCCCCAGCAAATTAACTAACAGGTTGGAAGTCAGTCAGCTTTTGTCTTTCTACGCCTCCAGAAAGAGCCTTAGGTGAGCAAGCCCTCAAACTGGATTAGTGCAAGAGGTCACAGGTCATGCTCCTTCTTAAGAGAACTGTCAAAGCACAAGTGGGACTTGACTAGATAAACCAAGAAACAAGTCACCGTCAGAGGTTCTAACGGTGATAGCATTAAAAAGCCAACATTTCAAGGTAAAAACAATTTTTAAAGTACTTCCACACGGAGTGAGCTGTAGCTCTCTTTGTAAACAAACCCTCAAACACATCTTAGTCGTGATTTTCCCCACTAGTAGTTAGGGCCAGTTTTCTAGGATAAACACGTTGCATTTTCCTGAAACAGCAATTTACCAGAGTATTTAAAGGAGAAAATGCTTGTTAATATGACATCAACCACGGATAAACGTGGTGTGTAGTTTGAAACTCCAAATAGCTTTTACAAAACAAAAGTTGGGGGGTGGCTCTTCCAGACTCCACTGCAGTAGGATTTGTGTGCAGGTAGGACCGTGCTCTTCTCTGCCACTGGGGGTCGGGTCCAGGGCACTTGGCAGAAAACACTGGGCTTTACTGGGGGAAACGGAGGCTCGCCGGCTCCGCGGCGGGAAGGCGGTTGGATCGCAAGGGCCTCCGGCCTCGGTAGCCGTGGGCGGCTTTGGCCCGGCGCTCCCGGGCCTCGCGGGCGGGACTCCGCAGGGCTGCGCGCCCTCCCTCCGCCGAGCTGGGAAGTGCGGCCATCGGCGGGCCCCGCTACTCCGCGCCCGCGGTCACCTGGCGGGCCTGCCTCGGGTCCCGCCGGGCTAAATCCCACCCCGATCCGAGAGGCCGAGTGGCCGGAAGAGCCCGCACTTCGTCTCCCCTCCCGGGGCTTCGCCCTGGGCGCCCAGGTCGCGGTGGGCGCGGCCGCGGAGCTGGGCGTTCCCGGGCTCGGCCGGGCCCCGCGGCGCTCCGGGGCGCGGAGCGGGAGGCGGCGGGAGCGGGCCGGGCGCCGCCGCCCCCGCGCAGGCCCGGCCCGCCGCCCTCCCTCCGCGGCCCGCGGCCCACGCCCAGTCTCCCGGCGTCGTGTCGCCCGCGGCCTTTCTGTCCGCCGCGCGGCTGGGACCCGGCCCGCCCGGGCTCGGCGGCGGGAGGAGGGAGAGGGAGGGAGCGGGCCGGCGGGTGGGCGGGCGGAAGGGGGAGGAGAGGAGCGAAAGGAGCCAGTCGGGAGGGGGCCCGCAGCAGTGACCCGAGCAGACCGAGCCGCGGCGCCCGGCTCCGCCAGCTCCGCGCCGCCGCCGCGTGAGTCGCGACCCCGGCCCGGCGCGCGGGGGTGGGCGCGGGAGAGCTGGGGGGGCTGGGGCCGCTCGGGCGCGGATCCGCGGACCCGCCGCCCCCCCGCCCTGCCGGCCTCCGCGAGGGCGGGCGCGGCCTTGCTCCTCAGGGCCCGGGCGCGGAGCCGGGGAGCAAAGGCTTCTCCACAGCAGCGGCCCCTGGCTCCGGGCCCTCGCGCGCCGCTGCTGGTCTGGCTCGCGCCCCTGGGGCTCAGGCGCGGAGGTCGGGCCGCGGGCGGCAGCCCCCGGCGCTGGGAGAGAGATGCGCTGCTGCCCACCATCTGTTGTGCTCACAGCGGAGGACAAGTAAACAGAGAAATCGAATCCCCTGGCTGCTCCAGACAGCAGTAGGCCACTGGCCGGGGGGGGCATGTCTAGACCTGGGCCCAGCCTGGGCTAGATCTGACCGCTTTCTCCAAGCCTGTTTAGGCAGCGCCACACCCAGATTTCGCACCTACGCCTGGAGCTCCTGCCACCCAGCAGCCCGTTGCCACACGTGCCTCCTCCTGGAAGCCAACAGGCACGAAAAGGCCACATTGTGTGCCTGGCCACCGTGGCCTGGCCCTGGCCCTGAACCAGGAGGGGGACATATCACTTCAGCTTATACCTGCTGCAAACCAACCAAAAATGGCCAGTCAGAACGGAGGTCCCTCTGGAAATTCCAACTGGCCCGCACTCCAAAGCCGGCTCAGCCTGAGAAAATGCCCACGACCCATTCCAGGGGAAGAAAACCTTCGGGCATGCATCTAGGCGACTGCCTTGAAGCGAGAGAGTTCGTTTTGGGTGGGGGGCGGGGAGGGGACAGGAGTGACATGGTCTCCGGGGAAGACAGCAGTTTGCCAGTTCGCCCCGACGCAAAAAACTGCCAGGACCACCAGAGACCACAACACGAGGGCTGCCTGGCAAGCCCCCTTCCCCAGGGTGCCGGCCTCAGTCCGCGGAGCCCGCCGTGTGCAGCCCGGGCGGAAGCCCGCTGCCCTTCGCTCGCTGAGGGCCCCCGACGACCCTTGTGAGCGGGTTCAAGTTATTTTCATCTCAAGCGAAAACCATGAACAGAGAAGGGCTATCACCGCCTGGCCGCTCACGCGCGTCTGCGGCGGAACTGGACCGGCACCCCCAGGGGCCCGGCATGGGCGCTTCTCCCCCAGCGCTGTCAGCCAGACCCTGCTCCGAGCAGACCGCACGCCGCTCTGGAGGGGGGCGCCCCGTCCGCCCCGTCCACCGCCATCCGGCCCGGAGGGCCCCCTGCCCGCCCCGTCCACCCCATCCCGCCGGAGGCGCCCCCGCGCTCCTCACACCCATCCCGCCGGAGGCGGCCCCCTTGCGCCGTCCACACCCGTCCGCCTCCGGAGGCGCCTCCTCCCGCCTCCGTCCACGCCATCCCTCCGAGGCCGCCCTCCAGTCCGCCCCCCGTCTGGCCCGAGGCGCCCCATCCACCCCATCCCTCCAGAGGGGCGCCCCGTCTCAGCCCTCCACCCATCCGCTCTGGAGGGCGGGCCCCACTCGACGCCCCGTCCACATCCGCCCGGAGGGGCCCACCGGTCCACCCATCCGCTCCGGGGAGGGCGCGGCCGCCGCTCGGAGCCGCTCTCCGCCCCTCCGTCCGGAGGCCCTCCGCCGGTCCGCTCCGGGAGGGGGCGCCCGTTCCGGCCGCCCGTCGATCCGGAGGGCGCCCGCCGTCCGCCCGTCCGCTCGAGGCCGCCCCTCCGGCCCGTCCGCTCCGTGAGGGGCCCGCGCCCTCGCTCCGAGGGCGCCGTCCGCCCCGCCCCCGAGGGGCCCCCGATCCGCCCCGTTCCGCATCCGAGGGTCCGTCCACCCGTCGCACCTCCGCCCGGGAGGCGCCCGTCGCTCCGTCCGCTCCGGGCGCGCCGGG